GTGAATCGCCCTATGTGTTCTAGAGTAGACACCTCTCCTAAATCGGTAAATAGTGAGAATTCTAGCACTTTATACCTTCTAAGCTATGGATATGTTTGGTCTACCCAATCAGGATATGGCTTTGTGTAAGTCGGCCTAATGACAGGACGTACTCTAAAAGCCATCTGATCCTGTACTATTTTCATAATTTGATTCCTCAACATGACGTTGGGATCATATGGAATTCCTACAGGTTAGTTGATCAGTTGATTTGCGTGAGGCCTGATGTTTGGTCCTTGGTTGGCAACAAAGTTGCCTTGATTTGGGTCATTGTTACCGTTAGCTTGAATATTTATTCCATCATTAACACGTGGGACATTCTATCCATTATTTAGGACATTGTCTCATACATTTAGGTTACCCCCCAAGTTAGCTGTACCATTACCACTATTCTGATTTGGCATTACACCATCACCTGACTTGAAGTAGAGGGACGAAAAGGTGGTTCTATCCCTTGACTTGGACTTATGACTGGGAAATTATGTCCCACAATTGTCCTAACTTGAAAGTGATTTGCAAGAGGCACAACTGGCTGACAAATTTGGTCTACTAATTTATTCATTATTTCATTCAAAGTATTCAATTGTTTGGCCATGTTCCCATTTTGGGTAAATCTTTCCATATTATGAATATTTTGTAGATTTACCTGGTCAACGACATCCTGTGTGAGTTCTCCAAGTAATACACGCATGGTTCGAGGACTCAACTCTGTCATTGGTTCGTAATGACTGTGACTGCTCTGTCCCTCTGTTCGTGGAGAGCTATGCTGCTCCTCATATCGCTCGATCACAGACTGAATTCCTCCCTGATTTACTGCTTCCTTATCAGATTTGTGAGACATATTGTTTAACCTTTTGTATCTTCAGCACCAAACACCAATGTCCCACCGGGTGTGCCAAATTGTTTCGCGCGGGTAGTCGCTAACAATTAAAAAGGGATCAGACGATTGTGTAAGGAACAAACCTCTTGAGACAAAATCCCAAAAAGGGGTATTTTATAGGCGATGATTTACAATTGGAACTAAACAGAATGCCTCCAAGGGGCGCAAGCACACGAGTACTAAAAGAAAATGTTTAAATTTAAACTAAGAAATTGAAATTACATATTCTCTGTTTGAGAGTGTTTGATTCGGGGTCTTTTTCTCTATGTCTTCTCTTCCATTTATATTCCCTTGATGATTCCTTTGTGACAAACCGTTTAGAAACTGTTTGATTGCTTCATAACCACCCACTTTCTTTATGGTGGCTAACTTATCGTGGGACTGCCGTCTCTAACTGTTGCCACTACTCTTTGTCGTTCAACCGCCTTCAACTGGGTTCCTTGAATCGTGAAATGTGATATGGTTACTCAATAACTGTTTCAATAACTGCATTTCTGGATAACCATAATATTTTATGTTTGCTAAGATCCTGGGCGATTCGAAGATATGGGTGAGAACAGGGCCATCGCTCTGGGCGACTGTAAGGCACTCCATTTGCTCAGATTTTGGGCGTCTTGCAAGTTTGGGCGATGATGTTACTGTGTTCGTGGGCTTCCACTGCATTCATTAATAACCCTGTTTGGGCCTTTATCCTAAATTCCTCAATTGGGCTTCATTCCTTGGACTATTCGATTTGAGCTGCTCTTTTAGTGTGTCAACAGTGTCAAATGAAGTAAAAGCGCGCCGGTGGGCCCATACATTCCCGACTGACGGCTACTTCCTGTATCAAAGACTTGAGAATATTCCTTTATTAAACCATCAAAGAAGGCCACTCGTATTCTTTTATTTTCAAGAGTTTTCTTATTAGGCCATTGTTTGAGGCTCATTTTTTTTAAGTTTATTTTCAATTACATATTCTTCAATAAATTAATATTATACATAAATTGAAAAAAATTTCTTCTTTTTTAATCATATTTTATCCCAAAATTTACTATTTTAAAATGCATTTTTCCCCTAAAATAGGGCTCAAACAAGGGCTACAAGTGTTATCTCCTAAGGAAATCCTACATCATAGTCGACGTTGCTTAAATTCTTTAAGTTTCGATTTCGAAGAATATATAAATAGACAAAATAAATTGCGAATAAATGAAGAATAATTGTTGATTCATCAAAATAAATGATTGAAGTTGAAGTTCAATAATTTACAAATTTTGTCCAGTGGAAGGCTTACTCGAGAAGAAAGTAAGGTGGTCTATCAATTTATGATGCGCAAAATCTTGTGCAACCTACAGCACGACAAGATCGACTCACAGCACAAAAACAAACTTGACTTTGAGGTGCAAAACAAATTTGAGTATAGAGGCATTTTCAAGAATGTCCAATTTTAAAGTATTGAGTTGAAAAGTGTCAACTCATTTGAATTTAGTATCAACTTGTCTATCATGCCCTTAATAAAAAATGGAGCAATTGAATGTTGTTCTCGACATTTGATTTTTTTTCAATTTGTCACGAATTTCGAGAAGTATCTTTCATGAAAAGCTGCATTAAAATAATATTTCTCGACATTTCATATGTCATTCTCGACATTTGAATATCGTTTCATTTGTCTAGAATGACATTTTATTTTGAATATGACATTTTTTTACATTTGAAATGTAGTTCTCGACTTTTCTGAGTCAATGAAAAACATAGCATTTATTGTGATTTGACATGTATGCTTTTCAAATAAATATAGCAGGTTATGTGTCAAAATTTTATTGGTCAATAACAATTTTGTAAAAATGTCCATTTTTTGTCTTAGTGTAGAATTATAAATTGTTAATAATGGTATTTTGGTCTAAATTCTTCCAAAATAGACATTTTTGCAAATGACTTGGTGAAAATGGATATCCTGTGAAATTTCCTCTTAGTAAGTATATTATAGGCGTCAAAGATCTATTTTTTATAAGGATCAACTTAGACTAAGATGTTATTAAAGATATTTAAGCAAAGCACCTCACAAGATTAAGAGTAATGCTATTTAGCAACATCAATATTAAAACATCAATGTAGATGACGATAATGTGACATTAAATGAGAAGTATAATTAAATAAATTGCTTAATTCTATCTCTTATTGAGCCTATCACTTAGGCCACCCAAACTAATGTTCTAATATTAGTGATGCTAAATAACATTATTTCAAGATTAGAGGTTTAAAGGCACCTCATTGAACCATATTTTATAGTTTTAAGTAGTCGAGTGCAAACCTCTTTGAGGATACATGGCCCATATTTCCATGTCTGACTTGTACTAATTATGAGTAATGTTATTTAGCTCATTGGGATGCAATCTTGGATGAGTTGAAGTCACATATCCTACAGGCACAAAATAAAATGAAGTTGTGAGCCAATTTACCCCGATGAGATGTCCACTTAAGGAAGGAGGTTTAGTATATGTAAAGCTCTGGTCCTATCACCTCCGCTCTTTGGTTAGGAAGCCTAAGGAAAAGCTAGGACCTTGTTACTTCGGTCCCTTCAAAGTCTTGAAATGCATGGGTCCAGTTGCTTACCATCTCGAGCTTCCTTCCATAGCTTCCATTCACCCGATGTTTCATGTGTCGCAACTAAGGAAAGCACTGGGAGCAACTGAGACTTGTCAATAGTTACTCCTACACATCGATGTTAATTTAGATTCGAATGTGGAACTAGAGCAGGTCCTTGGAGTGCGTCAATCACCTGTAGGGCACATCCCTGGTCTTGAAGTGTTAATTTAGTGGAAGGGACTGCCAAACTTCGAGGCCTCCTAGGAACTAGTAACATCAATTGTTCAACATTTCCCCGGATTTCCACTTTGAGGACAATGTGTCTTACGAACCCGGGAGTAATTATAAGCCTCCCATATGATATACATATTCTAGAAGGGAAAAGAAGACTGAGAAACCATTTGATAGCTACCAAAATCTGTTAGGAGGCAACCAATTATGTTAATGCAGGGAAAGTTAGTTAGAAGACGGGATCACTGTAGTATACTTTTAACAAGTGAGAAATAGGCAAGAGTGGAGAGTTCTAGCCCTCTCAAATGGCTATTTAATTCGTTTCCATTCCTGTAATTCTTTCTTGTTTTTCAACCAAATGCAATTTATATCTGTTGATCCCAATAACAATTCTTAACTTTTAGTTTGATTCTCATTAGTAAACAACAATGACAATGATATTGTATATTTGTAAAGGAAAAGGAATAAAGCTAAGAGTGAGCGATCAAAGAAAAAGAAAAATGTTAATGTAATTTGTTGACCTCCAAAAATGGCGTCAACAGATGCCCTGCCTAGTCTCCCCCAAACCTGCACATGTAATACCCCGTTAAGAGGCAAAGATGGTCGGACGACAAAAGGGTCCGACAACCGTTTGTACTCAGACGGTCAAATCAATGGCCGGACGAAGATAAATATATAGAGTGTAATAGTAGGGAGTTGAAACATAGAAACTTACCTTAAAATGAGGATGGATCCATGTATGTATAGAAGTGGAGACGGGCCAATTGAGTTAATGGGCCTAAGTCTAAGCCCAATAAGGAGGTAATTATATAAGGCACCTCGGCTAAATTTCTTATGGCCTCGGTGGTGACTCGGTTGGCCTCTTTAGAGCCTCGGCTTTGGGGCTTTTACTAGGCTGCCACTTGAGCCTTTATTGTCCAATTCCAAATGGGCCTTGTTCGAGTTCAATAAAATGGCACAATATGAAGTGATAATTTATAAGCATAACACAAACTGATGTTATTTCCAAGTGATGATTTGATTGCATTAAAATGAAGATGACTATTTTTAAACAATTTGAAATTGGATGATTTGATCATATGAAATTGAAAATGAGTGGCTCGAACTTCCTTTATTGTCACCGCTATCACCAGCCACCTTCCTCCTCCTCCTCCTTTTTCTTTCTGGCTCAAATTATCATCAGGCGTGTTTTGTTACCAGTTGAGTTGAACCTTGAGTTTTATCTTTCACTTATTGTCTTCTGTAGTCATATTTTTTGCCATCCACCGCTGTTCTGGGTACCATAATTTCTTCCTCTTTTCAACGAGAAGACAAAGGATTTAAACATGGGGGGGTATGATGCAATTTTATCATACTCTGCCACGTACTCATTTCAGAAGGGTCCACCGATGCCCAAATTCCTTATGCGGATAATAACACGTACACGTCACCCAGATTATGTGTGTCGTATAAATTAAATACTCCAGTCGAGATTTTCAGTTTTGATACGAGTATAGCTTCGATTTTTATGCATTTTTACTTTTTAGAATAGGACTGAAATTTTCATCGTTCGTTCTTGCAAATATATATTTTACAGTGTAATTGAGGATGCGGTGGCTATTGCGGAAGAGAAACGGAGCACCGGTGAATAGATTTGGAGATAAATGGAAATTAGGGCTTCTGGAATGTAGTCGGACTGTGGTGACGAGCTGCAGAGCGGTACTATTGCCCCGATTCGGCGGGCCGGAGGTGCTGGATCTCCGAGATAATGTTAAGGTGCCCGATCTCAAATCCAATGAGGTCCTCGTTCGCGCTCGTGCTGTTTCCGTCAATCCCCTCGATACCAGAGTCAGTTCCATTCTCGCTTAATTCTTTCTTTCCCTCGATTGCGTATCCAAGTATGAAACTAGATCTTTTTTTTCGTAAACTGAGGTTAAATCAATCAGTAGTACTCGTGATACAAAATTATAGATGAAAGCTGATATACCATTAGCATTTCCTAGTTGATTATTGTTATTCAATTCAAATTATAAATTCTCTGTGATTGATATACTGAAAATGAAAAAAAGAATATTTATTTGTGGTAGATTAGTAAATGCATTTGAATCAGATGAAAATTAAAAATATCTACTTTCTTGGTGGAGATAATTTTGGGAGAGTATAGTATTGTAGCCATTCTACGAAGTTTTCATTTTTTTTTTCTTTCTTTAAAGTAGGATTTGCTTAATGCTATTTCCTGCTAAGCTCTTGTTTTTCGTTGTGGAATTTTAGGGGCTTCCACGATTTTAATATGCTTCCTTGGTGATCGAGTAAAAATTGGGAGTTACCGATCCAATTTTAATAAACTATTAGGTTAGACTTAGAGACGAGTAAATGTAAATTGCTTTTGTCTTTTGAAATGTGGTATGTCACTGAATTTTCCCCGAAAAGACGAACGAATTGTAGTTTGTTTATTGAGGGATTAGTACACACTCTTCGTATTAACATTATAGAATAAATAATTTAAAATCAAATGTGCTTTCTTCTTGTTTCATACTTTGAGCGCTAGTTCTTTGTGAACAAACACAAGATCAATTGCTCACTCCATCACTGAAAACTTGATCTTATGTCTTTTGACTCCCAATTCTCAATTGAGCACAGAAGAAACATATGAAAATTGTTGAAGCTCAGAAATTTCAGAACTAAGATAGTAAATTAGGGACAAGTAACATTCTGATTCTGCAAAGCGTGCTTTGAAAGAAACTGACGGTTCACTAGAGTCGCTATATTTTCACATCAAGCAGTCGTATTTTCCTAAGTTTCCATTGATTTGTGTGCATTTAACGATCTACAACGTTAATTTTATTTCTTCTTTTTCAGTATATCGACCATGTGAGAAACTAGGAGCTTGAACACATGATGTCCTTCCAACTCTACACCCTAAAACCCACGTATTGATTCTTAACTTATTGCGGATATCGATATATCTCGTAGGGATAGCACACAACTTGGTATTACAACTATAAAAACATCCTGGGTTCAAGAATCTTCGTTTCATTTTCATTAAAATTGTACGTGTTAAGTCATTAACGGAAAAATGAACCCAACCCATACGTGATAATGCATGCAGAAAGACCATAAAATTAAACGATTTCTGATGCAGGGAGATTAATAAATCTGTGAATAACAAGATGGGATGGGGGAGGGAAGAGAAGAAGAATACAGAGGAGGGGAAAAGACGGCTGCAAGCCAAATCCTTAATTAATCAAATTCATCAACTGTGAAATTACAAACCAATGATAGGTTTAAATAATGAAAACCTAGAAATATAGGGCCAAGCCCATTACTTAAGTCCTAATTAAAATACGTAAACTTAAATAAAAGTCCAACTGAAACAATAATAAAAGTCCAACTAAAATACTGAAACAATAATAAAAGTCCAACTATAAAGGATGTCCTCATCAACTCTCCCGGGGTGGGAGAAAACTCGACCCTGTCGAGTGGATATATCACCGTAGACTCTCGTCAATCTCCCAACCATAAGCTGAGTGGCTGGGCAAGTGTCTTCCGGCGTCTGTAGAAATGCGTCAGTGGCGGTCTGAACCTGGTGTCCTCACCAACTCCCCTCGGGTGGACGGGAGGCGATCTTGACCAAGGAAGATCCTGCTGACTCCGATAAAGCTCTAGCAAATCTGGATCCAAATGCTGTAGTGTCTCCCTGGAGATCCATGCACAATCAGAATCTGGTCGACCAACCCAACGAACAAGGAAGCGCTGAACCTCTCCATCATTAGTGAACACAGTTTCTTCATCTAAAATAGCATCAATTTTATCTGTGTGGGCTGTGAGAGGTGGTAGTGGGTTAGTGGGGGCCAAAGAATTAGGATCAAGGTCCACAAAAGGAGGTAACAGGGGATCATCTGAGGGAATGAAATGGCCTTTATAAGCGACAAGGTCTTCAACATTGAAAGTATGGTGGTAACCAATGTGGGATGGAATGTCGACAATATATGCATTTGGACCAACTTGCTTTAAAATTTTAAAAGGACCAGCACTACGAGCTTGCAATTTGGAGGCGGGTCCATGTAGACGCCGCTCTGGCCTAATGCGAACCATAACGTAATCCCCAACATTAAACTCAAT